CTTACAGGATTTCAGTCAAATAATCTATGATCAATACTATACTGTTTTATTATTGAACATATATGTGGCTTCTAAGAGTTAATTGTCTGCTTTTTAATGTCATACATTTTCTAATATGGTTTAACCTGGGGCTCTTCCACAGAGTGAGAGCTTTGGCCTGTACGCTCTGTACAGCAAGAACAAACCACTGTCAGACGCCCTGATCCTGCACCGCCGCCATGACATATTCAAGGTCAGTTTTTGCCCTATTTTGCTCTTATAGGAATGTCTTACCCAATAAAATGACCAATTGTACGAAGAATCCAACAGCAGGTTACATTTTTAATGAATTGAAGTAGATTGAGCCTTGTTTAACAACATCCAAACTTCACCAAAAGCTCCTGCAGAATAATTTAAAGCTCTCCTATTATACTATTTTTAGACATATATTATAGGTCTCAGATATATAAAAAACATGTCTATGAAGTGTTTTGCTCAAAATACTAAACAGATCAGCCATTCTAGCAATGCCTCATACCCCTCTATTTCAGCCCTGTTAGAGAAGTGCTGATTCTGGGTCCGTAGCTTTGAATGTAACCGAGCTGCTGCTGGCCACGCCCCTTTGGAGCATGCATGAGCTCTGTCAAGACGAGAGAGGTTTCTTGCCAGCTTCTCAACTAAATGCTGACGTAATTAAACGCCATATTATGCTCCAAACCACATCAAGGATTATTTCTGAAACAGTATGGAGCTAAAATGCTCTTGCTCTCGCGGGTTTACCACAAGGTGAGTACCTTTTTGTATCTGGCTTCTTTACACATACTCTCTCCAGTACTGGTTAGCTCTGAGTGTTAGCGATGCTTGCTAATGTAAACACAGACCCCAGCCCATATTTTAGTAATGTCGTCATGACCGCAGCAAATCTGTATCAACTCCGTTGTACCCCCGTTTTTAGAGATTATGGGTAAGGAGGAAAAGAGAGAGGGTTGTATTTTCTGACACTTTGTGAGTACACACCGGGGACACATATTTATGTATAAAAGACATCAAGTGCATTTTGCATAATAGGTGACCTTTAAGTAAGATTTTTAATACAGGACTTTTTAGAGTTTTTAGAGACTTTAATAGAGTATTTTTACAATGTATTATTGCTACTTTTACTCAAGTATAAAACCTGAGTTCTTCTACCACCAGTGATAAAAATGTCATAAGCCCCCATATGACCGCTAGTGGGCCGGGTTTTAAAGACAGAAATACTTTTATGCTGCTTTTATTTTGAAGGTTGTGGGCGGAAGTGCTGTTGTCTAATGTCCGTCATTGACGCTGGTCTCCCTGCAGAGAGACAGAGACAGACAGCTGAGAACATCCACCGGAGAGCAGACAGACAGACCGCAGAGAGTAGCCGGTGC